TTCGCCATTTCGCCATTTTCAATTTTTTTTTGGCGAAAGTCGAAACTAGTTTCGACTTTCGCCTTTTGCGAAACCTCAAGTTTCGCCTAACAACACTAGGCAGGTCAGATCTCAGTTCAAGGTTTAGTAGGATGCTAGAGAATAGAATTCTCGGTCGGAAATCCATCTTTGATAATCAATACGTATTACGTTTGTGCCGACTTATAGTAACGAAATGAGTCATCATTGATGACATCACCGGAGATTTTTATATTCATATATTATTAAGCCCATGCAAGCACATATACAGTGGCTTATTATAATGTTAGTGCTAAGTGAGAGAGTTTATATAAAGTGATTTGACAATTCAAAAGAGTGTGTTTAGTTTTAAAATAGAATAGTGACCTTTATTTAATAATGATAGAATGTTATGGCGCAAAGTGGAGCGAATGTCTCTGTATATATAGTAAAATATTCACTAATAAATATATGACACCGATACCTATGTTCCCTTAATACTACTTATATGACCTGTGATACAATAACTTGGCAAGGGAACCTGACACGTCGATTAAAATGTAGACATATAAAAGATTATCAATAAATTTCTAACTATTTGGAATTGGAGGCAAGCCATGAAGAAGACGTTTGATACTCTCCATCTCTGTTTGATTTAATACAATTCTTCTTACTGTTAAAATTTTCTCATTGCCATTCTTATCTTTTTTAGATGTTATAAAACCGATTGAACCCAAAATAATGATATAAAAACCTTTCATAAAGATATTTAAATAATGATAAAACTGAATTGTTTCATCTAAATTTAAGTAACTTAAAGGGATTTTAGATTCATAATAAACCTTTTTTTTTTCTACTATTTTAGGAGTTCTTATTTTAATTTGATATATATATGTAAGGGAAAAAATTATACTAATTACAGAAAATATAAAAAGACAATTGGACAAATCTTTATAAGTTTTATAATATTCATCATTTTCACTAGCCTCATTCGCTAACGTAGCAATAGAATATATAGCCAGATAAATCATAAGACACGAAAATATAATAATCCATATAGACGCAACAATAAATGTAATCTCTGCATTTTTAAACAACTTTTTCATAAAATAAAATTGTTCTCTATCTTTTTTTTCATAGCCAATAATAATATCAATTTTCCTTCTTTCAAGATTCCAACTACTATATCGCCTGGGAATATCTGATTCTTGTTCATTATTCGATATGTCAATAGTATTTGATTTATTAACTTGTTCTTTGTCCAATATATCAATAGCATCTGATTTGTACTCTTGTTCTTCTTTGTTCAATTTATCGACGGTATCTAATTTTTTTCTAGTAAAAAACTTTTTAAGAGAAAAAATATTTGCAAAAAGAGTTGTAGTGCCTCCTATTCCAGAAATGGAAGTTGAAAGAATTTTACTACTTAATGACGCCATACTATTTTTATCTGAAATTGAAAGCGCAACTCCCACTGTAAGAGAGATAATACAAATAGTAATATAATAAACAAAGTTTTTATTAGATAGAGACTGAAGTTCCATCAAATCGTTAAACACTTTTCTTAGTTGAATCATGTAATATTTTTCTTCCAAAGTCTTTTCAGGCTGAATATCTAATGTAAACGAATCTTCTGTTGTATTTCTATCCATTTTTTTTTTTAGAAAAATTTAAATGTTTAAATGTTTTGCAGTGATATTTTTTTTTTAAAAAAATAAATTGCAATGGATTTCCAAGATTTAAATCTAAATCAAGTTTTATATAACCAAAAGAATATACTTATACTGCAACATACAATAAACGTACTCTACGAATAATTATCCCTCTTTTGAAATTTTTTATAAATCAGAATCATAAATCTAGAATCCTTTATGCAACGAAATATGGACGTTCAAAATAACATTCTTTTTCAGTACAAATTTGAGTGCCGGCATTCTTTGTTTTTCAGGATTATATGCATGTTCAATACAAATCTAAAAAAAGATATAAATTTAAGGTTAGTCTTCAAGTATTTTCTATCAAAATTTGAATTCACTGGTTGGTGTTTCTTTCGTATTCATAAGCCTTAATAGTGATGCCTTTCATTCATGTGCATAGAAGAAATACATTATGGAGGTTATTGATAATGTAATAATTCCTCGGACAATTGAACCCGTAATTGGTATGGGGGTTAGTTGAAAACCAAATACTCATTTGATTATTGTTATATTTATTACGATTTATAAATGATATCTTTGATAGGTCGTGGCGCGATTATTTTAGAATAAATGAGGAAATGAGGATCAATTTAGTATAAAGGACACCTATTAATAAAATTGATTATTAATCAATTGATCCTAAATAGATAAAATTCATTAGCGTTAGGTATACGTATGAGGTACGCACGGCATAGCGGGCTTTCATTGTAATTGGCTGATTTTTGTAGACCATCCCGTGATATTGCAAAAATATCATTGGTTAATCGAAATTATTCGCAAGGCAAATTTTATACTATACGAAATTATATTTTGATATAATTAATAATTGGATATTATTATTACTGTATAAAATCAAATTGGTACTAATATACGGATTACTACGAAATCTATTAACTCAAAGTCTAAACCTATCATTCCGATACAAAAAAATCTTAAGATCTTATTTTAAAAAAATACTATAAATAAATAAATATATATATATACGTATAAAGCACAAAAAACAAATAAAAAAAATACAAACTATTTTTTTTTTTTTTTTTTTTAAGGTGACCTCTTTGGTCTTTTGACTTTTATTAATCACTTATCGGTATTGTGGTTCAATGAACCACTACAGGAGAGCATACAATTGGTTACATATATAACTTTTCTATATTACCTATTTAAGGAGTTCATCCAAAGGTTTTCTACCAATTGCTGTACCTAACATCTCTGCTTGGGTGTTTTATTTTAAACTCTTTGAACCTGTAATCTGTATTAATATTACTGGGTTATCCCAGATGCTCAGATCATTATCTCAACCTTAGGACTAATTTATTCTTGAGATAACCCTTTTAGAGTCTTCTGTACATATTTTTACAATTAATCTAGGTATCACTATGGCAGAACCAACATTTGCAATTAGGGTTGACCATTAAACTGTTATGTCCTTATAAAGTTCACACAAACTCTAGCATCTACTTTACAACATATTCGAAATACTTTAGTATACCTTTACTGATTCATCAAACTTCCAATTCAGATAGCCTAATAGGACTTACAACCAGTCTATTGGTATATCAGATCAGCCCGATATCCTTTTTCTTCAACTCGATCTGGTGGTCTGGTTAGTGGTACCTCCTACCTAGAGGTTTTTTCCTATTTGGTTATTTTGATCTTGGTATCTATTTTATAAAGCTAGTCTTTACAATAGGGTTATTAAAGATCTGGTTACCTCTCTACTTGAGTCTTCTCAAATAGACTTCTTGTTACTTAATTTCAATGGATTTACATGGTCACAAGAACTTAACTAGTGTTTGTACTACCCAATTGCTAGTTTGCATTCTTTCATGTAACCACAATCTTGTTTCAAAGAACAATGTCATATGATCTGTTACACAAATATCCTATAACTTACCAGTCATGCTGGTGTGATTGCTATTACAGATATTCTAACTCAATTATTAGTAATAGTTGCTATAATATGAATATTACATTGGTGATTATTCAAATTTTCATCATCAATGAGATTTGAACACCCAACCTACTACTTGGAGAGTTGACAACCTGACCACTTCACTAGGTCATCACACCCTTAAAAATACAACCTATTTTATTTTAAAAGATTATAAAAATCATATAAATAGTTTTTTAATTGTATAGTTGTCTTACAAAGTTTAACATAGTTACACAAAAAACAATAAAAAACAACAAAAATTTATACAAACTAATAATGTTAATATATTGTACAAATTAATTTAAGAGTATAACATTAAGGCATAATTATTATGCAATATATATCAATATATATTAAATATCAATATTTACAATTATAACTATTATTATAAATAACTTTACTAATTTGATTTGACATATTATTAATTAAATTTATAAGGATTAATAAAACTAGTTTTTTTTATTTTTTTAAAAATATTATTTTTAAAGTTTTATAAGTTCTTGAAAGTAGTTTTTATTATTTAATATATATTTTCTTTAGTGTTAAGGTGACCTCTTTGGTCTTTTGACTTTTATTAATAACTTATTAGTAATGTGATTCTATAAACTACTACAGAAGAGAGTACAATTAGCTATATATATAACTTTTCTATATTACTTATTTAAGAAGTCTGCCTGAAGATTCTCTACCAATTGTTATATCTAAAACTCTTGCTTGGATGTTTTACTTTAAATCTTCTGAACCTATAATCTGTATTAACTTACTAGGTCATACCCAAATGTCCAAATTATTATCATAACCTTAGAACTAATTTATTTTCAAAGTAAACTCTCAGAGCCTTCTGTATCTATTTTTACAACTGATCTAGATATTGCTATGGCAGAACCAATACTTATGATTAGGACTTAACTATTAAATTACTGTATCTTTGTAGAGTTTAAATAAACCCTAGCATCTACTTCACAGCATAATCTTGACACTTTAGTATACTTCTGTTTTTTATTCAGTTTTTTTTACCAAAC